AATGTACAGTATGTGGAAAATAATGTGTTTTTTTACCTTAAACCGCATAAACACATTTCATTACACCAAATACACAAAATAATGTTCTTTTTAGCAGCATCATATGACCCCTTTAATCCAAATAATCGGCTTATCAAGAATATCAAACTGCAAAGGCTGATTTAATTACATACATTAATTACATTTGATATCATATAAATATAAGTGAAGCGCGGCACTGTGTTTGTTTGGATGTGAGCAGCTCATGATACAGTCTTTTCAGTCTCAGCTGCTCCACATTTTTTAGCAGCATCATATGACCCCTTTAATCCAAATAATCGGCTTATCAAGAATATCAAACTGCAAAGGCTGATTTAATTACATACATTAATTACATTTGATATCATATAAATATAAGTGAAGCGCGGCACTGTGTTTGTTTGGACGTGAGCAGCTCATGATACAGTCTTTTCAGTCTCAGCTGCTCCACATGAACTCGTCTCTGCATCCGAGTTTGGGTCACTTCTGATAAGAATTGATTATAAATCGACTGTTTAATGTTTGAAAATGAAAAAATTATGACAACCATTGTAATTATTAAGGTTGTACTATAAAATTAAAATATTTTTATTTATCGAATTATTATATTTGAAACAATATGATAGTAATATTTCTTATTTTATTTAATAGTTTTATTTAGTAGAAGCTGTAATTATAATAATAAAATAAATAGTATTATTATTATTATTATTGTCAAAATAAAAGTTCAATGGTTAATGAAGAAATTAATAATTTAATGAAGAAATTAAATATTAGATTTGTAATTTTATAGTTGTACTATATAATAAAATTATAATTTTTCTTAAATACGTACAGTGAATCAATACACTAGTAATATTTCTTATTTTGTTTAATAGTTTTATTTAGTGGAAGTAATAATACTAATTGTTATTATTATTATTATTATTATTATTATTATATTTTAATAATTTTTTTTTTTAAGAATAATTAAAATACATGTTTATAATATTTATTATGTTTGCAATTTTTTTCAATAAATAAATATTAAATAAATAAATAACAACAACAGCATCATTAATAGTTAATATTATTACAGTAAAAAAAGTTCAGTGGGTAAATATTTGAAAATGAAGAAATTAATACAGCCATAAATATTATTATTGTAATTTTACAGTTGTACTATAAAATAAAATCATTATAATTTTTCTTAAATACAGTGAAATAATACAATAGTAATATTTCTTATTTTGATTAGTAGTAATAATAATAATTATAGAAATTATAGAAAACTAAAATACTTGTTTAAAGTGTTTATGTTCGTAGAAGTTTTCTTTAATAATAATAATAATAATAATTATTATTATTATAGTCAAAATAAAAGTTCAGTGGTTAAACATTTGAAAATGAAGAAATTAAGACGGCTATAAATATGTGTATTGTAATATTACAGCTGTAATGCTAAATAAAATTATTAAATATTTTTTAAATACTTGATTTTTATTTTACAGTAAAATATTACAATAGTAATTTTTCTTATTTCGTTTTTATTTAGTGTTTTTATAATTTTTATTTGATAACAACAACAACAAATATAATATATAATCATTACATAGCCATATTGATATAAAATCAATAATCAATGAAACAAAACCTGAACTTTTTGTAAAATCGCATTTTAAATCACAATCATGATTTTTATTAGAAAAATTATTTTTTGTTCCCCTCAAATCGCACAGCGTGAGTTCTAGTACTAGTGATTTTAGCAACTGAATCACCATTTGAGATTCTGAACATAAAACCACAACCAATACTAGTAGTTGCACTAAAAATTATAATCAATGTAACATTTTATGAACTCAGTTCAACAAATATTCTAGAAATCTAGATTGAATCACACACATACATAGTACCTAAATGTGATTCTGTGTGCTGTGAGCTACAGATGTACAAGAAGCAGCCCGAGTCCTCGAGCCAATCATCTCCAATCACACGCCATCTGCTCCACACACACACACACACACACACCAGCTACATCTGACTGTCCGTGACCTCTGACCTCCGCAGATGTCTGTCCTGCAGCGTACGTGAGCGTGAGCACAAGTTGGGATGTGTAGATTATACAGTAATGCAAAGGCTTAAAGGAATAGTTCACCCAGAAATGAAAATGTGCTCACCCTCAGTGCATCCGAGATTAGGATGAGTTTGTTTCTTCATCAGATTTGGACAAATGTAGCATTGCGTCACTTGCTCTGCGGTGAATGGGTGCCGTCAGAACGAGAGCTGATCAAAACATCACAATAATCCACAGCACTCCAGTCCATCAGTTAACATCTGGAGAAGACAAAAGCTGAAACTAATCCAGCATTAAGACGATTTTAACTGAGTTTATAATCCATAATAACGCTTCCTCCAGTGAGTCAGTGTTCTGGTGTGAATCAGGAGAGAAATCTGCACAGATCAAGCAGCGTTTAAACAGCTCTAAACATATATGTGGCTGGGTTGTGATGTGAGAGACAACAGCAGATGCACTTTTTCACTGGAGGAAGCGTTATTATGGGTTATAAACTCAGTTAAATTCGTCTTAATGCTGGATGTGTTTCAGCTTTTGTCTTCTCCAGATGTTAACTGATGGACGAGTGCTGTGGATTATTGTGATGTTTTGATCAGCTCTCATTCTGACGGCACCCATTCACCGCAGAGACACTGATGCAATGCTACATTTCTCCAAACAAACTCATCTACATCTCGAATGCGCTATGAGTCGAATGAGTAAAATCAGCACATTTGAATTTCTGGCTGAACTATCGAGATGTTCCTCAGTTTGAACTGTTAAATGCATGAATGTAATTGTGTGTGCGTTCGTGAGACCTCAGTTTGGGCCACTTGTATGCTCCGCTGGTCATGGTAAACGCCCCGATCTCCAGCTGCTGGACGTGCATGGCCAAGATGTGAGCGTCTGGGAGAGTCGGCCGCCGTCTGCTCTTCTCTCCCTCCATCAGACACAGATTATCACTCTTCAGAAACACCTGAAACAAGATCATCAACAGACTTTAGAACCTCACTCCTCTCTCTTCTATGGGACCACTTCCTGACGCTCAAACAGCAGAGCATGCGCTCGCAACACTAGTGTCCCGGGTTTGATTCTTAGAGAATGCATGAACTGATAACATGTAAACTTTGAATGCAATGTAAGTCGCTTTGGATAAAAGCATCTAAATAAATGCAGAAATGTAAATGCATTAATGTATTTAATTATTCAAAACAACATCAGAAACACAACTCACACAAACAGTGACTTCAGTGCACCTCTACAGTGATGAGCATGTTTACAGAAGCTATTTTAAAATTAATTTTGTTATTTAATAATGTGTAGGACATAATCAAAAATGTGTGGGTGGCGTAACTGTCTGGAGATTATGTAAAAAAAAAAAAAAAGAATAGCTATGACACAGTTTTGTTATTATTAATATATAATAATAATAATAATAATAATAATAATAATAATAATAATAATAAAAGAAGCAATTAAGTTTTAATTAGTTCAAAATAATTTAAACTAATTAAAACAAATAGCTGTGAAACCGTTTTGTTATTATTAACATTATAGATATAATATAATAATATTAATATAATAATATAACATTATTGTTATTGTTATTATTATTAATAACAACAACAATAATATTCAAAACAATTAAGGATTTGTTTAAAACAATTAAAACACATTTTTAAAATAATTAAAATAAATAGCTGTGAAGCAATATTATTCATGTTATATAATAATAATAATAATAATAATAATAATAATAAAATAATAATAATAATAATAATAATAATAATAATAATAATAATAATAATAATAATAATAATAATAATAATAATAATAATAATAATAATAATAATAATAATAATAATAATAATAATAATAATAATAATAATAAAAGTAACAATTAAGAATTAATTCAAAACAATAAAAACGAAATAATAAAGTAATTAAAACAAATACCTGTGAAGCAGTTTTGTAATTAATATTATTATTGTTATAAATATTATATTATACAAATATATTAAAATAATATAAACTATACTATTTAAATATTATTACTAATATAATTAGGCTACATTAGAAACAATTAAGAAATTATTAAAATAATAGAAATAGCAGTGAAGCAGTTTTGTTATTAATATTATTATTGTTACAGATAATATATAATATAATGATATATTTGTATTATTATTTTTATTATTAAAAATATTGAAAACAATTAATGAGCTGAAAACAATTAAAACAAATTATTAAAATAAATAGCAGTTTTATTATTAATATTATTAATGATATAGATATTACATAATGCAATAATACTATTTTTTATTATTATTAATATTAATATTATAAATGTAATAAAAGTAGAAAGCATTAAGTATTAAACAATTAAAACAAATAATTGAAACAATTAAAATAAATAGCAGTTTTATTGTTAATATTATTAATGATATAGATATTACATAATGCAATAATACTATTTTTTATTATTATTAATATTATAAATGCAATAACATTAGAAAGCATGAAATCTCCGGCGTTCTGAGCGTTAGAGATAGGCTGGAGCTTGTGTGTTTTGGAGTGTTGATGTCGATGTGAGCGTCTGACCTGCAGAGCCCTGAGCTCCTCCAGAGCCTCGCACACCTTCAGCGAGAGCTGCTTCCACGCCTGCGTTCAACACATCCACAACACAAGACACATGCTGTCAAACTCATCCAAACCAGAGGAAGCCTGGCTTATGAGAAACATCTATCATGCAATTTCATTTCATGCTAAATATGATGAGCATTGCTTTGTTTCCGCACAGAACGCTGAATGTCGATTATAACTCTTTCAAGCTTTTAAATAGAGTTTAATCAGTTTAAACAGACATGCAATTAACATTTCAGCTGCTGGAGCCGCCGGATAAGATACAGCAACAATAACAAATCCAGTGGAGTTTATGAGGTTATGACTTTTGGTCTCTCACCGGTAGTTGCCTCACGATCACGTTCTCCAGCCCCGACAGAATCTGCAAAGCCGTGGCCAAGTTTCTCGACTCGTAGCAGAACTTGCCAACGGCGAGAAAGCGAGCGAGTAAAGCCACCTGTGCCTAAAAATACAACACGAACACAGCGAGATATTCAAATGCACATGAAAAGTAGAAATATATATAGTGTGTATTATGTGCATATCAGAGAATTAAGGACGCAAATGTTCCTAATTGGCATGAAATTAATGGTACAATGCAAAAAACTATTAATGATCCTAAAAATATGCATCAGATCATTTCTTTGTTTTTTCCCCCCCGAGACATATTCTTGCAAGGTTTTTGTTCACATTATGAAAGTTAAATAGGTTGTGGCTTCAAAACTATTTTATTTTAGTTGTTATTTTAGTAGCACTGATATACTATTACTATTATAGTTTTTGTTAATATTATATTTTCTGTTTGCATTTTAATTTTACTTAACGTTTTAGTAATCTTGTTGTGTTTTTGTTTGTATTTATTTGTTGTTTTTTGTGTATGTATACAAACAAATATATTTATTTGTATATACACACATTTTATATATATACTGAATGTATATATTTATATTTAAACAATAATAAAGTTATTATTAAAGTTATTATTAAAAACACATTACAAAATATGTAATATGTAATAAAAACAAATATTGAAAATGACAAAAGCACTCAACAAAATTATAAAAATATTAAGCAAAATTTAAATTAAATAAGAAAAAATAAAATTTAAATAAAAAACTATAACAGTATAGTTAAAATAACAAATAAAAATAAAATAAAAACTAAAATAACAACTAAAATAAAATTGTTTTGAAGCCACAACCTACATAAAGTTTTTAAGTTTAAATATATTTTAATGTTTTATATATATATATATATATATATATAGTTTTTATTAATTTTTAGTTTTTAATAATACGTGAATTAGTTATTTAAATGAGTTAATTCAAACTAATTATTAAAGTAATTAAAACAAATAGCTATGAAGCAGTTTTATATTATTAATGTTATAGATAGATTAATATAATGCAATAATATAACATTATTATTATTAATATAATAATAATCTAAATTAAGAATTTGTTTAAAACAATTAAAACAAATTATAATTTTTTTTTATTTATTATTAATATTATGTTACACGACGATGATGATGATGATAATACTAATAATAACAATTAAGAATTCATAATAATTAAAACTATTATTAAAGTCATTAAAACAAATAGCTGTGAAACAGTTTTTTATTATTAATATTATTAATGTTAAAGATAGATTAATATAATACAATAATATAACATTATTATTAATATATTCAAAATTAAGAATTTGTTTAAATATATATTTTTAAGTATTATTAATATTATGTTACACGACGATGATGATGATGATAATACTAATTCATAATAATTAAAACTATTATTAAAGTCATTGAAACAAATAGCAGTTTTTTATTAACATGATTAATGTTATAGATATTAAATAATTTATAATGATTTTGTTTCATTTATAAGATAAGTAAATATTCAGTAAACTCTGAGGAATCACCTTGAGCGAGTCACAGATGACCAGTTCAGCAGAAACCCAGTTAGCCACACAGTCTGCATGTGTGAGGAGCCTCTGCAGCGGGCCCCGGGGCCCCGACACCTCACTGACCAACACACAGCAACATTCATCACACACACTCAACATAATCGGGAAGATATGAGGTATAAATATATGCACATGCACTTTTTTCTAAAATCACGATTTTAGGTGAGAATGATTTTTATGCATGTAAAATATGCTGTGTTCTGTACACAAGAAAGCTTAAACGCGTTTGAGATTTAATATAGAAGGTCACTGCTTTAATTGAGTTAAGTCACCTGGAAATGTTTCCAGAGTTTTCCGTCACTCCGTGAGCTCTCGAGTTCAGAAAGTGGACCGGATGACAGTCGTGAAATATTTCCTGCATAAATATCAGACGATGAGACATGAATATGCATGATATAATGATTCTGGCCTGGTGTAAAAGTCTGTCTCAGATCAAGAATCAAGACCAGCATGAAAATAAGATGAGCGTGTGTCTCCACCTAGAGTTGGGTCGGGAAATAACAGCGTGAGAACAGAGCAGAAAATAATAGAGTGATAATGTCAAAATAAAATAATGTAAGAAAGCATGATAATGAAAATTGGAAATTAAGGACATTCGTGTATTTTAGCTTTTAAAACGTTTGGAATAGTGTTGAAAGAAGTGTCTTGTGCTCATCAAGGCTGCATTTATTTGATCAAATATGTATTAAAAAATGTGAAATATTATTACAAACTAAAACAGCTGTTTTCTATGTGAATCTCTGTTAAACTCTAATTTATTTCTGCGATCAAAAGCTGAATTTACTCCAGTCTTCAGTGTCACATGATCTTCAGAAATCATATAATATGCTGATTTGCTGCTCGAGAAACATTTCTGATTATCATCAATGTTGAAAACATTAATATTTTTGTGGAAACCGTGATGCATTTTATTTTTCAGGATTCACAGATGAACAGAAAGTTTAAAAGAACAGCTTTAATTGAAAACAGAACACCATAAATGTCTTTACTGTGACTTTTGATCAATTTAATGCATCTCTGCAGAATAAAAGCATAGTGTGTGACCATTTCCACAGAAATATTGTGCAGCACAAGTGTGATAATAATCAGAAATGTTTCTCGAGCAGCAGATCAGCATATTATACTGATTTCTGAAGATCATGCGACACTGAAGACTGGAGTAAATTCAGATTTTGATCACAGAAATAAATTACAGTTTAACATATATTCACATAGAAAACAAGTATTTTATATTAAAATAATATTTCACATTTTTTAATGTATATTTGAGCAAATAAATGCAGCCCTGGTGAGCAGAAGAGACTTCTTTCAACATTTCAACATCATAATTATTCCAAACGTTTCCATATGTTTTGCATGCGCTGTATATTTCACAAATGATTAGTGTTTTTTTGATCACCTGCTCCAGTAAGGTGAGCTGCTGTGTGATGTGCAGCGGCGTGTGTTCACTCTGACTGAAGGGACGTCTCTCCTCTGATCGCAGACTGCTGTTGCTCATCAGAGAGGCGTAACACGGCCGTGGAAGAGCCGCGGCGATGGAGAACCCTTTCTCTTTACTCTGGACCGTCTGAGGCTCCAACACACGCGGCACGCGCCACTGCACACGCGTGAACACATGAAGAACAGCACACGCTAGCAGTCCGGTTCTTGACTTCTGCTGAAATGCTTCAAATTCATGTTTCTTGTGTTTGATTTTTTCTTAAGGCAAGGAACTACAGATAAAACCGTATTTTTTTCATGCACTGGTCAATTTTGAGATTTTTTGGGCTATTTTGCTGCTTCTTTCAGACTAGTGGAAAGAAAACATCCGAAATATAAAGTTAAGTGTTTGTTTTATTATGCTGTAGATTTTCCACTTCAGCAACACTTGCATATACCAAACTTTACAGTTTTATTCCTCTCTAGGTTTTTATATTGTGAATATATAATTTGCTTGATTTATATTTAACATTTTATTCCTAAAAACATAGCGAAAATGTATTTTTTACTGTCTGTTGACAGTATTTTCGGATTTATGGAGTTATAAAAAGAGAAATCTAAATTCCCGTCTGTAAAAAACTCTAATATGTCAACAAAATCAAACAAGAATTGATCTAATGTTCAGATTTCGGTTCTGGAAATAAATGCACATTAGTGCATATTCAATAATATAATGCCTTAAATGCATTTTTTAAAACTTTTTAAAGTTTAATAACAATAAATAAATAATTTTTTTTTTTTAAAATAAATAAAATGCAATAAAAATAAAACATAATGAATGTGTAAATAAAATATAAAATAAACAAATACATAAAAATGTAATTAAATTAAATTGATCACAAGAAGAAACCAAGAGCAAGAGCAGGTTACACAGTATTATTTTCCTCAACCGTACACTGTGTTCCTAATCACTACAACCCTTCTTAATTAGGTACCTAATGTCCATCTTTTAAACAAATGTCCATTTTTATTTGTAACCACACTGTCACTCTTTCCAGATTTGTTTCAGTTCCTGAGTCCACTGGTTGGTCGTGTTTCCAATGGACTGTTATCAATTCAGGGATGTAACGATTCACTCAACGCACGATTCGATTCGATTCTCGATATATTTATTTTTAACAAAATGAGATTTTAGACATATTATAAATTAAATGTGTCCTTTTATTATTGCTTGGACAAAATACTGTACGTTTCTTTGTGAAATTGAAATATAACACTGTAATAATAAACTAATATAGCACTTGTAAATTATTGCTCTTCTGTTGGTTTTGATTGCTTCTGTTGTCCTCATTTGTTAGTCGCTTTGGATAAAAGTGTTTGCTAAATAACAACATTTAAATATAATGTAAATGTAAATAACAAAACTACATTTTTAAAATTTATTTTAAAACAAGCCCCAAATCAAATAAATAAGTAACACAAATAAAATAAATCTCTTCATATAAACAAACTCAGGCTTTGTCTGTGCTCTTAACATTTAAAATTAGAGGCAACCACTGCATTTTAATCATGATCCAAACAAAGATGCTGCATGCATGCAACACGAGCAGTTTTTAATCTAAATTACATTGTATCATTTCTAAATTTGAAGCAAAAACAGAATGGTTTGACTTCAGTTTTTTGAAATTATGCATAAAAAATATCTGCATGAAACCGAAACAGCAGAAGAGCTGAACGAGACGCAGATTCACTCTCTGCCAGCAGGTGGCGCTTAAAGCATCTCCTTGGTTACCGCTGTAAATAAAGCAGCGCTGCACTTATGAACAGCAATTGTTGGAAAGGAAAGTGTGGGTCAGTCCAGTAGGGGGCGCTAATAGACTGTCTTATCATATAACTGCCTGAAGTATTATTGCGTTCTTAGGCGGAAGTTGTTTAGTTTGCAGTGGAGCGACGGGCAGAAGGAAATCAGCTCTTTAGTGTTATTTATGCAGTTAATCTTGCATTAGTGGATTTGTGCGGTGTTAGACGAGAGAGGACCAGGCCTGGAGTTTATTTTGTGTTTTGGTTTTGTTTGCGCTGTTTTGAGTTTATTTAATTATTAAAGTTTTATTTAAATGTTTGCCGGTTCCCGCCTCCTTCTTCCTGACCTACAAACGTTGTTACACAAGGTTATTCTGTGTCCTTCACTATCTCACCAGCCAGCCAACCCGAGAGAGTTTATAAGATCGGAGGAGCTTTTACTGCAGCTCAGTTGGGTCTAGCAGAGCACACGTACCCAGTGGAACGATTGCAGCACAAATACAAATACTTGAGAAAATTGCCCTAGCCAGAAATCAAATGTGCCCAACCCCTTCTTCTCATTGGATCAGACTTCCCGCACTTAATAACCCCAATCCAGACAGTAAGATTAGGACCACCTGGGGGTCCTGTGGCAGTTAAGACGAGACTTGGTTGGACACTTCAAGGCCCTACTAAGTGCTTACCAATGCAACATGGAACCCAGTCATGCCTGTTCATTGCAACACTCTCCCCATCAGCTGAGCTGCATCACCATGTGGAAAGGCTTTCGCAGCTTGATGTTTTGCCATACAAGAATGAGAAGCTGGTGACCAGGTCTCGACAGGATCAGAGTGCAGTGGAACTCTTGCAGACAAAGACAGTTTGAGTGAACGTAAATGGAGTACACAGGTATGCCACACCTTTACTAAGAGTGCAGTCTATGCCAACTTTGTCTGCCTCACCAACTGCAGTCCTTGCTAACTTAAGGAGTACAGAGAAGCGCCTCCTCCGGGATCCAGTTCGTGCCACAGCATACAACTCAGAAATCCAGAAACTTGAACAGGCAGGGTATGTCACAAAAGTGAATCAAGAGGTGTGGGAGTCATCTAACGAGTCCTGGTTCATCCTGCATCATATGGTGACTCACAATGGGAAGAACAGGATCGTGTTTAATTGTTCCTTCACCTATCAAGGAAACAATTTGAATGAACTGCTCCTGCCTGGTCCCAATTTGAGCTCCTCTCTGCTTGGGGTCCAGCTGCGATTCAGAGAACATTCAACAGCTGTCAGCAGTGACATTAAAGGTATGTTTCATCAGGTGAGGCTACTCCCTGAGGACAGACCACTCTTATGGTTCCTGTGGCGTAATATGCAGAGAGACAGTCTGCCTAGTGTGTATGAATGGCAAGTCCTGTCATTTGGGGCAACTTGCTCCCCATGCTGTGCACATGTGACATATCGTCGATATTGTCCTTCCTTCAAGAGGTGTTGGATAAGGGACACCCCCCCCCCACTCTTAAGGTCTATGTGGCGGCTATAGCAGCTTTTCATGCTCCTATAGACGGGATATTGGTCAGCAGGAACAACCTCGTTGTTCAGGGGCCCCCCCCCCCCCCCCCACTCTTAAGGTCTATGTGGCGGCTATAGCAGCTTTTCATGCTCCTATAGACGGGATATTGGTCAGCAGGAACAACCTCGTTGTTCGACTTTTGAAAGGGTCTAGGAGGTTGAACCCCCCTCGCCCTTCTACGGTCCCTACGTGGGATCTGTCTACGGTTCTGAGGGCACTCAAATGCCCCCCCCTTTGAACCGCTCCAATTCGCTGATATTCGACCCCTGTCGCTAAAGACCGCTCTGCTATTGGCTTTGGCATTGGTTAAGCGAGTTGGAGATTTACAGGCGCTCTCTGTGAGCCCCTCCTGCCTTGAATTCAGGCCTAACGACTCCAAGGTCATCCTAAAGCCTAGGCATGGTTATGTACCTAAAGTGCTCTCTACTCCATTCCGAGCACAGGTAATCACGCTCTCTGCGCTGCCCCCCTTGCAGGAAGACCAGGAGCCAATCCTGCTCTGTCCTGTCAGGGCATTAAAAATCTACTTTGACTGCTCCGCCTCCTTTAGGCAGTCGGAGCAGCTCTTTGTATGCTTTGGTGGTCGCACCAAGGGGCTTCCGTTCACAAAGCAAAGACTATCCCATTGGATAGTTGACGCAATAGCTCTTGCATACTCCTCCTTGGGCCTTCAATGCCCCATCGGGGTCAGAGCACATTCCACGAGAGACATGACCTCATCCTGGGCATGGTCCAGTGGTGTGTCCATTGCAGAAATTTGTGCGGCGGCCGGCTGGTCCTCGCCGTCCACCTTTGTCAGGTTCTACAACCTAGACGTCCCTGCTTTACAGGCTCAGGTCCTTTCTGCTTAACTGTCTCTCTGTGCTCAAATGCTCCAGGAACCATATTCCCGCCCTAAGGCTGCATTTAATCCTTTCTGGGTTTGACTATGTCTCAAACCCATTGAAGTTCCCACGTCTGGGCTTAGCTTCCGGCACGCTCTCGGCCCTATCTAGTTCCGAGGCTGTGCGAAGTTCTAAGAACAATTATGTAAGGCCGGGCTCGACCTCTATGAGTTAGCCCATTTCTTTGCCTCCTCTTGACCCTGAAAAGAATCCGGGTCTCTGGCTATGGCCTGCTCCATTGTAGTTGATCTACAGGGCCCCCTTCTGGACGCCCTGGACAATTACTTATAAGTCGTTCATCTACCATAGCATGGTGTGATTGAATAGGTTCCCGTAGCATCTAGCGACGCAGTACGAAGTGAAAGTATTGAAAGGGAACATACTCGGTTACTAACGT